GGGGGGGGGCAAATAAATTATTTGGGAATTGCAAGAAAGAGGGGGCAAAACGGGTGCGTGGGACCATGAGAGAGAAAGCCCGGATGAAGCTCAAGTGAGGTTCTATCCCAAACCAATTGGTGGAAGGAAGAGTAGCCCACTAGATTTATAAATTATATTTTTTTTTCACTATATAAACGATGTGAGACAACTCACAAATTATATTCTGATAGGAATAAATATGGATGGCACAATAGCAAAACTACTGCAAACCCTTCTATATAAACTAGGAAAATATGTTAAATTACAAAATATAGTCAATATCTTGTACGCATTGGCAATAGTAGCCACCATCATTACGAATTTGCAATAGTAGCCAACAATCCTTTAAATTTTGGGGTTATTACCCAAATTCGGCCAAATTTGACGGTTAAATTGTAAAATATAACCGATATTCTTTTACACTGTGGCAATAATAGCCGTCGAATTTGGTCGAACATGGGTAATAACCTCAAAATATTAAAATTAATTGGCTACTATTGTCAATTCATAAAGATAGTGACTATTATTACCATTACATACAAGATATTGGCTATATTTTACAATTAAACGAGAAAAATATATATGCATCATTAATAATAGGATGAGGATTCATTTTTCCATAAACATTATGATACAAGTCACCAGATAAAGTCTAACGGTATATTTTCTTCATTTTGACAATGACATTTTTTTTTTTTTAAGTCTTAATTTGTTCTCACTGCATGTCATACGTTGGACTCACAAATCCTTGCTTTTGATCCACTTGGGACTTCATAGAAGGCTGCCCTAATTGGTTCTCATTATTCTCAGTCTCCGAAAAGTTAATTGTCCCGTTGCTATCGATGACCGTTTCTTGATTGCCGAAAGGGGCGTTGTTGTTGTTGTTGTTGTAAGAGGCGTCATTCAGGAGATTCGAGATGGAGCCCATGTAGTCGAATTCCCATAGATGAGTTAGGGAAGATATTCTTGGAAAGGATTTGTTATGTTGTGGTGGTTCAATTAATGCACTTTGATCACTTGTTTTCACAATTTGAGCCTTAAGTGTGTCTTCAACTGGTATTAGTCCATCATGAGTGGCTCTTGCCAAATTCTTCTTCTTGTAGATTCTACAAAGCACCCAATCATCCAACTAAAACACAAAAGCACAATAATTAAGTTAGTTAAAAGTCTTAAAATAAATCTTTGTATGGCTAATTTTCTTGGTAGAGCTTTTTACTAGTAGTTTTGTTTCATTTAATTGTATAAACTAGTTAAAATAGACCATCCACTTGAGTGTATTGAATTTTGTTCTATTACAAAGATAAAGAGGAAAGATTTTATTGATAAGAGGATTAGGGATAATATGGATACCCTCATGGAACCACTTTGCTTGTAAGGTTGTGACCTCGATTCACTCATTCGATATTCGTGCATGATCCAGTCAGTCTTGATGCCCTTTGGCGGCCGACCCTTGTAAAAGACGAGGGCTTTCTTGATCCCCACATACTTTGCTCCACTATAGATGGATTTATCCGTGCCCGTGGCTTTCCAATAACCCGAGATGGCTGCCCTATTGGGGCGCACGCCGTTCGGGTACTTTCTGTCTCGAGGAGTGAAAAAATACCATTCGTTCTCTCCGAATTCAGCCTTATCTATAATCAATACCACACACGCGTATGACAAAAATAGTCAAACCTTAGTACACACGTGTTAAGATAATTGCATTTGTGTATGTGAAACAAGAATTGAAAATATAAGACTAATATTACGCACGTAACATCCATCATACTAACCTGGCAACTCCCACGGATCGAACTTATAGATATCGACTTCTGGGATGATAGGAAAAGGGCACGGCCTCGATGTGGCTTGGTATCGGAGATAACACATTATCAATTCCTCGTCGGTCGGGTGAAATCTAAAACCGGGTGGAAGGCTCGAGTTGTTTTTTCCCACCATCTTTGTGTTTTTTTTTTTTTTTTTTTTGGACAACTTAAGTTTTATATGTATGGTAGCAAAGATAATTAGTTTGTTTTAGTTTGTCCTTTGTTTTGGACGGAATAGTTAAAGATGAGATGAGAGAGGAAAGAGTTTGAAACGTTTGCAAGGGGATGGGAAGGCATTTTATATTTGTGGGTTTTTTGTCATCTTATGGATTAAAATCTTGATTGGGTCACCTTTTTGTGTTTTCTTTTTCTCATTGATTTGACTTTCGCTTTCATACCTTAAGTACGTAATGGATGAGCCAATGCAGCAAAGACAGCCATACTTGTGGAATTAGGTAAAATGAATTTTCCTTCCCTTCCGTTTATTCTATTCTTTGTTAATATCATGCTTCTTTTTATGGACAAACCTTTAGATACATGCATACTGTTACAACAAGGGGAAGGGAGTGCGGTTCCACCAGATGAAACGCACTATAAGAGGGTGAGTTTCGAAGCACCTTAATTAGTGAGATTTCATCCCAAAACCAATTGGTTATAGGAGAGAAGTAGTCCACTAGGCTTATAAACTAAGCTCATTTATCATATAGAATCAATGTGGGACAACTCACAAGTGATATTCCAACATGCCCCCTCACGTGTGAGTCCTTCATAAGCCCAAGCCCAGTGTAGGTCGGGTAGAAAAAGTCATTGCAGGTCCTAAGACAGACCCGCTCTGATACCATATTAGAATCGGGGGAAAAGAGTGCGGTCCCACGAGATAAAGTGCACCATAAGCCTAGATGCACCTTAGTGAGGTTTCATCCCAAAACCAATTGGTTCTGAGAGGAGTAGACCACTAGGCTTATACACTTAGGCTCATTTGCCCTATAAAATCAATGTGGAACAACTTACAATTAACATTCCAACACATACATAAATAAATTATTATTATTATTATTCATTCATTCATTCATGACCATAACGTTTTGCTCGAAGTCTTCGATTAGCTAATTGCTCAAGTTATCAAGTTCCCACTATAAGCTGAGGCACAAATGTGACACAAAATTGATTATTCCATTTAATACATTTCAAACTTAAAGCAATATAGTCTAGTGTTTATTGTGTTTTTGTGCTTATTTTTGTGTGTTTTATGTGCCTTAGTTGAGTCTTTTTAGGTTCGTTTTAGTGTCGACTGATCCATTTTATTGTTTTTTGTGTATTTCTGCTTTCCGTTTATGTTATTATGTTTTGCCGTATTTTCTCGTTCATTTTGGTGTTGACTAGGTCCATATTGAGAAAGCTTGGGAAGACGTGCCATTTCAAGTCATTTCCGAGCTGCCCGTACCACTCGAACCGTTCCGAGCCATCCTGGGAGATTTTTGAGTTAAGACCCGCGATCATGCTGTCATGCCCAATTCGCGGCCCCAATGTGATTTCGCAATGCTGCCAGGCCCAATTCGCAGCCCCAATGTGTTTTCGCGACGTTGCACGTTCCTTTACAAATGCCAAGTCCACATTTCGTGACCCCAGTTCCATTTCGCAACGTTGCGCGTGCCTTTGCTAGGGCCTAGCCCAAGAAGATGCCTTAAACTTCATCCGAGAATTCTACTCCACCGTTAACACCTTTCCCTATTTTTGGGCATGTGGTAACCGAGTTACCCGACTCGGGTCGTTCTCAAAAGAAGGTTGTTCGGATCTTCGTTCACTATCTAGTCGTCAAAGTCACATAACCGAAAACAAGGTCCTAAACATTCTACTCGCTTGATGGGGTTGGATTTCACGAAATTACGCTAAGCAAATGAAAGCACATGATGCAAGATAAAAATTAAGAGAGAAAGATCGAAACTTTGGTCTACCAGAATCCCCATGACTCAAGAAAATGAAAAATAAACAAGAGAAAACTTGCGAGCAAAGTGGTCCTAGGTATTCTTACACGAACTTTCTACACTAAATCATCACGCTTTGAACAAAGTCGAAATCTTTACTAGATAAGCACGTATCGAATTCTAACACACAAAAGCAAGCAATAAAAATAAAGCAAAGGCCAAAAATCGAGCATCAACACAAAAATCGAAAAGAAACTCGAAGTAGTAAGCCCTAAGCATGGTACTTACTCTCCTATCGCATGCGTAGACGAAAATAGTGCGTAAAACTCGAATCTTGAATAAAAGTAAAGTTGCCGGAATTTCACCAAAAAAGTAGAGCCATGGATCTCCAACCAAAGCATAAAAAAAAAATAAAAGAGAGAAAGTAGAGAGGATTTCCAACTTAAAAGTTGGGAAATGAGGGGAGATATCCAAAAATACAAAGCACAATGTCTATTTATAGGTACACCACAAACACACACTAGAAACACACAAATTTAATGAAATTATGAACGTGCAACGTTGCGAAATGAGGTTCGGGCCGCGAATTGTGGACTTGGCATGGGCATAGGCACGCGCAACGTTGCCAAAATGCATTGGGGTCCCAAACATGGACTTGGCCCTAGCAAAGGCACGCGCAACGTAGCGAAATGGCACTAGGGTCGCGAAATGTGGACTTGGCATTTGTACATGAATGCGCAACATCGCGAAAACACATTGGGGCCGCGAATTGGGCCTGGCAGCATTGCGAAATCACACTGGGGCCGCGAATTGGGCATGAAAGCATGATCGCGGGTCTTAACTCAAAAATCTCCCGGGATGGCTCGGAAAGGTTCGAGTGGTTCGGGCAGCTCGGAAATGACTTGAAAATGGCACGTCTTTTCAAGCTTTCTCAATATGGACCTAATCAACACCAAAATGAACGAGAAAATACGGCAAAACATAATAACATAAACGGAAAGCAAAAATACACAAAAAATAATAAAATGGACCGATCGACACTAAAACGAACTTAAAAAGACTCGACTAAGGCACATAAAACACACAAAAATAAGCACAAAAACACAATAAAAAACTCCCCCACACTTAACTCTTTGCTTGTCCTCAAACAAACAAAACAACAAGTAGCTCGAAAAAAAGAAAAAAAAAATCAAAAAGTTCAAAATTAACGAGCATGCGAAATGAAACTCTCATCTTCATCCGAAAATCCATAAAATCAAAATCCAATCTGAAAACACGATCCCTACATAGCGAATCCATACAAAACAAAAACTCGTCCCAAGTCATTCTACACATGATTACTTAATCCAAACTCCCTTTTTCTACATCGTGCAAAAACTATAAAAAGTCTACTAAACATGTAACATAATAATAAGCATGAGACCAATAAGCCAACTCTCATTTTTTTTTTCTTTTTTTTTTTATTTTATATTTTTTTAATGAGCAACTTTTTCCAAATGAGAGTCGTTAGGACGATTATTATCTAGGTTTAACCTCGGGGTTTGTCCCCGAGTTTCCTAGGCCGGTTTTCCCGTACTCCTTAACTCGGTTTATCTAGAAGACTAACCGAGCCAAGAGGAGCCTAATCCTTTCAACTCTCACGAACTCAACGGCGCCATTTTGTTTGTAGTATTTTTGGGCATGTGGTAACCAAGTTACCCGACTCGAGTCGTTCTCAAAGGAAGGTTGTTCGGAGCTTCGTTCACTACCTAGTCGTCAAAGTCACATAACCGAAAACAAGGTCCTAAACATTCTACTCGCTTGATGAGATTGGATTTCACGAAATTACGCTAAGCAAATGAAAGCACATGATGCAAGATGAAAATTAAGAGAGAAAGATCGAAACTTTGGTCTACCGGAATCCCCATGACTCAAGAAAAAGAAAAATAAACAAGAGAAGACATGCGAGCAAAGTGATCCTAGGTATTCTAACACGAGCTTTCTACACTAAACCATCACGCTTTGAACAAAGTCGAAATCTTTACTAGATAAGCACGTATCGAATCCTAACACACAAAAGCAAGCAATGAAAATAAAGCAAAGGCCAAGAATCGAGCATCAACACAAAAATCAAAAAGAAACTCGATGTAGTAAGCCCTAAGAAAGGTACTTACTTTCCTATCGCATGCGTAGACGAAAATAGTGCGTAAAACTCGAATCTTGAATAAAAGTAAAGTCGCCGGAATTTCACCAGAAAAGTAGAGCCATGGATCTCCAACCAAAGCATAAAAAAAAAAAATAAAAGAGAGAAAGTAGAGAGGATTACCCAACTTAAAGTTGGGAAATGAGGGGAGATATCCAAAAATACAAAACACAATGTCTATTTATAGGTACACCACAAACACACACTAGAAACACACACATTTAATGAAATTATGAACGCGCAATGTTGCTAAATGAGGTTCGGGCCGCGAATTGTGGACTTGGCATGGGCATAGGCACGTGCAATGTTGCCAAAATGCATTGGGGTCGCGAACATGGACTTGGCCCTAGCAAGCACGCGCAACGTTGCGAAATGGCACTGGGGTCGCGAAATGTGGACTTGGCAAACAGGAATGCGCAACGTCGCGTAAACACATTGAGGCCGCGAATTGGGCCTGGCAGCATTGCGAAATCACATTGGAGCCGCGAATTGGGCATGGCAACATGATCGCGGGTCTTAACTCAAAAATCTCCCGAGATGGCTCAGAACGGTTCGAGTGGTTCGGGCAGCTTGAAAATGACTTGAAAATGGCACGTCTTCCCAAGCTTTCTTAATATGGACCTAATTAACACCAAAATGAACGAGAAAATACGGCAAAAGATAATAACATAAACGGAAAGCAAAAATACACAAAGAACAATAAAATGGACCGGTCGACACTAAAACGAACCTAAAAAGACTCGACTAAGGCACATAAAACACACAAAAATAAGCACAAAAACACAATAAACTTCTAGCCAGGAAAAAAATATTTCAACTTAGGCTGCAAAATATGTTGTTGTTATTCGAACTTGAATTGTTCTCTAACATAGTTTGATTCGACTTGAAAAAGTTCGAACTTGATTTTCTTGTGTATTTAAATGAGCCAAAATCAAACAAATAACGGAACTTGTTAGCAAACAAGTCGAGTTGAACGTGTTCGCAAATAATTAAGTTAGAGTTTTGGTTCTTGTTCTATGTTTTAAA